GTGAATTTCACTTATTTCATACTCTCACCAACTCTTGTTCTTGGTAGCCTGATTAATTTTAAGTTTTTTATTTTATAGGTAGGGTTACTTTATTTTGGTTTTAATTTGTATTCCTTAACTACTAATGAAGTGAAAAATAAAAACCTCATTTGTTTATTGGGCATTTGCTTGTACTCTTCTCGTGAATTGTTTGTCTAAAACTTTTATAGATTTTTCTATTGAGTTATCTTTTCCTTTTTTTATGGAAGTTAAAAAAAAAATTCTACTGCATGAATGTTTTTTTAAAAAGTCCCTTTCCTTCCCAACAATAGCAATAACAAAAGAAAAAGAGAAAGTTCAAATACCTAATCAGAACCAAAGACCAAATATACAGCGGGAAGTGTATGTTATTTATTTTCAAACTCACCTGGCTCAGAGTCTTCCAACAGAACCCCTCTTTTAACGAGCTCTTCTCGTGGTTTCCGCATAGATATTTTTCGCTCTAAAACTAACATTAAATTGGAAAACAGCACTCAGAAATGTGGCAGTTAAAGGTTGACTATAAGCATTCTAACACCACAGATAAAAAAATAGAGTGGTTCAATTTTCTATTCTCTGGGAAAAAAAGAAAGGGAAAACTAACTTCAAATTAAAACTTTTACATCCTGTGCTATGAGGAAAATACCATTTCCAAAAGGAACTATCCTTAATTTTAGCATTGACATTTTAATAATAAGGTGTTCATGAAAGAACTTTTTCTGGGACGAAGCAGCCAGAGCAGGAAAAAAGAAGTATCTTAGATTTGCTATAGTTCAGGACTCCATTCACCACTTGATAAATTTTAATCCAATCAAAATACCAATCTGGGAATGAGGCTATAGAATATAAGGCTTAGTGAGTGACTACTTGGTCTTTTAATTCTAAAGGATTCAATTTCCTCATCAAAGAGGAGTTTATAGAAGCTTGGGAAGAGGACGAAAAAGTCAGGTACTTCTAAAATAGGGAACTCTTTAACTTAGAACATATATTAAAATCTTAATTTCTTACCTTCTGATGTCTCTTTGAATTTATCACTACTTTTTTTTTTCCGCCATTTCCAGGGCTTAAAGATCTTGCCAAAGCCTGAGAACTTGCTCTTCCTTTTGGTCGGAGGTGTCACGTCTCCAGCTTCCACACCATCCATGACCATGACTGGGTCTGCAGTGGCCTGGCCAGCTCCTTCTGTTGCATGGAGAGGGACAGAAGGACAAGAACAGCCAATTTATGATTTCAGCATAATCTCTGAAATCTCCCTCTCCCTCTCTTCCTGTGGTAGTTGGAAAGGATCAGAGCAATGACAATCATGCAGACAGACTACTTGACATCACGTGGACACCAAACATCAAAATCAATTAACAGATAAATTACTCAGAGGGAAAAGGAATCAAACCACGCTGGCATCAGTTTAGGACAAAAATTCAATGAGATGATCATAACAGCTCAAATCTCTTAAAGATGTGCACACCCACACCCACGTGTGCCTGCCTTCCCACTGTGCCTAAGAACTTGCCCCACAGCTGCCTACTACTGTTGCCATTCTCAACCTTTTGGCATGGAGGGAGGCACTTCCCAGCTAACACTACTATCTCCTGTGTCACTGAAGTAGGGAATTCCACCATTAGTGAGTGAGTCATTATTCAGTTAAACATTGCCCTCTCCCTGCCCTCCTCTTTCAGGATATAAATAGTTCAGAAAGGGGGTAACACATTAAGTGTTAACACCTTACTTGTGTCTGGTTTTCAGATTATTTTCTCCCTTCATAGACCCTATGCAGTCTTGGAGCACTGGAAGGGGGCAGGGCATTAGGAAGTGAGAGCTTTGAAAAGGAAGGAAATTTTTTTGGAAAGTAGAGGTGAGGTTTCAGTTTTCCTATCACAATACGGCTTTAGGGACAATCCTGATTTTAAGGATTTGACAAGAAACATAACTGACACGATAAATGTGAAGACTGAAGTGAAAGGCCAGGAGTCCCTCATAATGACCACACATGCAGGGTTTAGTTAGCTTTAATGGCAGAGAAAGGAGCAGGCAAGACTGGGCCAATAATAATAATAATAATAAAAAAATAGGCAGGAAGGCAACAAAAAAAGCAGGAAGGCAACACAATACAGCTTGGCACTCCACCTATTGTCCCAGGGTTCTCTGGAGAAGTCTAGAGGAGAAGAAAAAAACAGCCATGTGGAAAAACAGTCCTGGACCTTTACTTTATAGAAACACATCAAGGACCACATACTATATTATCGCTTGTAGTAAGTTAACATGTTTATGGTAAACAATTTCACATCTGAAGCAAATAATGCTTTTTTGGTGGGGAGGGATGAAGGGGCATAATATATGCACTAAAAAAACCTCTTTTCATACTTAAGGTATTTCTTCAGAAGTGAAAATACACAATCAGTAAGCATTACATTTTTTTAAACAGACCAGAAAAATTACTGAAGTCTGTTGATGAAGATTAGATTTACACAACTGTGATGATCAGGGTGAGTGCAGTAACGACAGCTGATGCATTACTTTGCTGTGCCCTGGTCGCTCAGGTAAAATAGGGTCCTGGTTACTGAAGTGCATCTTGGGTCTCTACTACTTTAACTCTTTACATGAAAGGCAACAGAACCTGTCTGTAACTGGGCCCTATTTTTAAAAGTTTAGCTGCCAGAGACATTAGAATTCCTGTCATAACAATTTGTTCTCAATGGTACCCTGAGATGGACCACTAAGAGTGGCACTAGAGTGAATACATGGTATTGCTTTTTTTTTGAGAGGGCATCTCTCATATTTATTGATCAAATGGTTGTTAACAACAATAAAATTCTGTATAGGGGAGTCAATGCTCAATGCACAATCATTTATCCACCCCAAGCCTAATTTTCGTCAGTCTCCAATCTTCTGAAGCATAACGAACAAGTTCTTACATGGTGAACAAATTCTTACATAGTGAATAAGTTCTTACATGGTGAACAGTACAAGGGCAGTCATCACAGAAACTTTCGGTTTTGATCACACATTATGAACTATAAACAATCAGGTCAAATATGAATATTCGTTTGATTTTTATACTTGATTTATATGTGGATCCCACATTTCTCCCTTTCTTCTTCCTCTTCTTTTTAATAAAATGCTGAAGTGGTAGGTAGATGCAAGATAAAGGTAGAAAACATAGTTTAGTGTTGTAAGAGAGCAAATGTAGATGATCAGATGATCAGGTGTGTGCCTATGGACTAAGTATTAATCCAGGCTAGACAAGGGCAGCAAGACATCCACGGATGCAGAAGATTTCTCTCAAAGCAGGGGGGGTGAGGTTCTGAGCCTCACCTCTGTTGATCCCTGATGGCCCCCCTGCGACTGTGCCTGTCTTAGGTTGTTCCTCCCTTGAGGAATCTTACCCGTCTCTGGCTAACCAGTCATCTTCCGGGGCCATACAGGGAAATGTAAAGTTGGTAAGTGAGAGAGAGAGGCCATATTGTTTGAAAAGGTTAGCTTTTTACTTCTTTGCAGATTTATGCCCTGTGGCTTCTATGCCCAGCATTTGTCTTGAGGTATTGCTTTTAAGAGTTAGTACTTTAATGAAGATAGCATTCTCCCAATTATGGAAAGTCAATGAGACCTTAAGACATTTCACAATAACATAATATTTAACATATGTTAATGATAATACTTTCAGAAAAGAAGCTAGGTAATGCGAAGTGTTTGTTTTCAAACAGAAGCCTCACTTACAAAGGCAAGGAAGGACTTTAACTTTAAATGTCCTGCTAACCTATCCACTTCACTCAGTTCCCAAAGACATAAAGGAAAATGCTGGCTTGGTTAAAATTAATAGGGAAGGTTAACAAAACCACCCACCAGACTAACAATATGAAAGAAAAGGTTATTAGTGCTATGTGATACTTCGACAAAGAAAAATAGCCAAAAAGCTTTAAGAGTGTTAGATGGTAACGTATTCACAGAACAGTTCCTGTCTATGAAATCCTTAAATGAATATAGCCAATCTAGCCTGCTTTCACTATCTTCTTGGATATCTAACCATTTTCTAAAGTGGAACTTAGTTCATCCCTTTTAATTCTCCATTATATTGAACAATATATTTGTGTCTGCTTTCTTATACATTAAAAACATCATGATATTCTTTCAAACATATTTACAACTGCTACCATATGAACTCAAATTGTTTGATTTATAGTACAAAATACAGCGTGTGTGGAAAATGCTAACAGTTTATGATGAAAATGAATATGTCCACTGTCACATCTATTGCTAAGAATAGCCCTCTTCTTTATGTAGAGAAGGTCATGTAATATAATCACTGAAACAAAAAGTAGAGAGAACAGCAGTTTTTTAATTTGATGCTTTATGCAAATTTGCTTCATTTTCATGTTCATAAAACTTTTGGAAGGGATGTGCCTCTTGCCCCATGCAGTGGAGTTCAGCCACACCCAGCCCTACCCAGTTATTATACCAAATTCATTCATTTATATTCTTGTATTTTCATATTTCACCCCTTCCCATTCCCCCCACTCTCCATGGGACAAAGAATATTATTTCAGTGACTCCCAAAGGTGTTCAAATACCTGGAATTAACCCAGTTGTCTTTTCAAAACACAGACTCCCCAGGAGGTAGGACCTAGGAATCTGTTGTTAAAAATCTTCACAGGTGATTCTTATGATCACTCAGGTCTATTAAACCCAATCTCAGATTATTATCTGGGATGTCCATGCCTGTTAAAAAACAGCGAGGCAGACATTCTCTGCCTGTAAACAAATTCTTTGTTGAAGAAAAATAAACTAGAAAACCATGGCATTATGCCAGTGTTTCCTGTTTAAGTAAAGTATTCCTAGAGAAGAATTTTAAACAAAAAGTTTGCAGTTATTTTTTCCCCAGGTTTATGATATATTATATCCCATGTACATTTGGAAAGGAAGTGTATTGTGCAGTTACCAAGTGTTGTTTTCTATATATGTCAATCAGGTCAACTTGGTTAATCATGTGCACAAGTCACTAAAATCCTTTCTCATTTGTCAGCTTGTTCTATCAGTTACTGAGAAAGGTTAGGTTAATGACTCTACCTCTGAAAGTGGATTTGTCTCTTTCGCTTTTTAGTTGTATTAATTTTTGCTTTATATACTTTAAAGCTATGTTATTAGGTATAAACAACTTCAGATTTATTATATCTTCCTATTGAATTGACCCTTTTATCGTTATGAAATTCTCTGTATTGCTCTAATAACACTTTTGTCGATTTTATTTTTCTATCTAGTTTGAAAATTGCTGTGTGTTAGAGTGTTTAGTCCATTTATATTTAACTTTTTTACTGACACAGTTGGGTTTAGGTCTACCCTTTTGCTCTTTATTTTCAATTTGCCTCATTTGCTCTGTATCCTCAATTTATTAACATCTATATGAAGTTAGTATTACTACTTATTGAAAAATGCAAGAATCTTACATTTCAACCCTATTTAGTCTGCTATTGTCATATTTAACTTCTATGTATATGTAACAATAAACCCCAGAAAACATTGTTTTAACAAACAATATTTAAAAATATTTCCAACATATTTGCTTTCTCAGGTACTTTTCACTTCTTTCTGCAATTCTGTGCTTCCAATTAGGACAATTTTATTCCATCATTTTTGAACGATATTTTCACTGGGTATAGTATTTTCAGTCGTGAGTTGAACTGTTTTATTTTAGCACTTTATAAATGTCATTTCATTGGCTTTTTTTCCTCCTGTTGGTCTGCTTTTCTTTGTCTGTTTCATTCTTTGGATGCTTCCTAGTTGCCTATAGAATAAGTGATCTAGCTGGGACTCAAATCGAAGTGTCTGACTTCAAAGTCTGTAATCCTTTCAATCATGCTGCCTTCAGAATAAAGATTAAGCTGAAATCTTACAAGTCTTTCCCACATCGAATTTTATTTGCTAACAAAGGTTTTAGAATATAATGTTAAAGCAGGCACATTATATTATTTAATTTTTATAACAACCTGGATGATTGGTATTAATCTATTTTATATAATTTAACAGTTTGGTATTCATCTCAAATACTGTTCATTATCAAAACTTATAAAGGGCATAAATTCTAGTTAGGTTTCTTCTTAAAGCCTCCTTATAAATTAATTTGCCACCCAGTTATAATTACTTTAAATTACAATAGGTACTTTTACCAATCCTTTGTTCCCTTCTCTTAA